TGTTAGTGACTTTGACCTTAAAGTCAATTTTCAAGGTCATTTTAAAGGTCAATTATTTTTTTAAATAAACCCCCTATTTTTGATTCCAAAATCTAATAGCTGGTGTCAAGAGCTTTTCAAAACGCTATAATGAAGTTATTTTTCATTAAGAACTTTTCGAGTTATGAGGCTTGTAAATTACAGTATTTTGACATAAAATACAAAATATCTTGTAAAACATTCAATTTTTTGGGAATCTTACCTTAATACTTTTATGCATAAAATAATGAGACGAATCAATTGATATAAAGAAAACACATAGTTGCTTTCAAGAATAAATATGTAATTTGCAACATGCAACTGCATACTTTTTTTTTAAAACCAATGTGTTTTCTTTATACCAATTGATTTGTCTCATTATTTTATGCATAAAAGTATTAAGGTAAGATTCCCAAAAATTGAATGTTTTACAAGATATTTTGTATTTTATGTCAAAATACTGTAATTTACAAGCCTCCTAACTTGAAAAGCACTTAATAAAAAATAACTTTTTTATAGTGTTTTGAAAAGCTCTTGACACCATCTATTAGATTTTGGAATAAAAATAGGGGTTTTTATTTTAAAAAATAACTCTGACCTTCAAATGACCTTGAAAATTGACTTCAAGGTCAAAGTCACTAACACAAATAGGTGACCCCCATTGTCTTGAACAACTTTTGTCTGAAGCATTTTTCTGTATTTGGCTTACTTACGGAAAAATTTGCGTGGATGGATTAAAATGGCCCACCCTGTATATATATGTATATCTTTTGTAAATATATAATGTAATAAAAAGTGGTATAATAGGGCTACAGGCGAAGATCCACTTTAAAAAAAATCTAACGCGCTATTAGTGGCACCTCATGGGTAGCGTGGAAGACCACTATTAATTATTATTACTAAATAATTATTTATATATCTTTTTTCTAGTTATTTATTAAATTTCACGTGTTCTTCTTTAAATATATTCATATTTCTGTTAAATATAATCACATTAATAAATATATGTATCATTATGTATCATGAATAAACAAATAGTAAAAAAAAAGTAAAAAAATCTACATAAATCTCTTTGACTTATTTCTTGTTAAATCAGGCCTCGGAATTATTTCATCTTTTCAGCCGATTCTCGTGGTATATGCCTCCTTTCCTCTCTTCACCGCGCGCGCGGCAGCCGCTAGGGCCAGCGCCGCCGAGCGTTAGGAGCAGCGCTATCCGATAAATGTTGGGTTCTTCTTCCTTGATCATTAAAAGTTAAAAAAATATTATATATATATATTATTTTAAATTTATTATGTGAAAATATTTCAATAGATTTCCACGTCACCCATAAGGTACTATTGCTATTGAGGAAAATAATATTTTTAATAAATTTTTTAACATTAATCGGATAGCGCCGCTCTTAACGCTCGGCGGCGCTGGCCCTAGCGTTTGCCGCGCGCGCGGTGAAGAGAGGAAAGGAGGCGTGTACCACGAGAATCGGCTGAAAAGATGAAATAATTCCGAGGCCTGTGTTAAATTATCAAATCTAAATGTGATCTATATAAGATGTACCATAAACTTGAAAAAAATCGGACACCACTCAGTCTCGAAACCTCTGATCTGCGTTGTGATAGACCAACTATTTTCCGTTAAGCCACTGCACATTATTAAGAATGAGATCGATGCTATCGTTACTTGTATTACATTTGCATAAGAGACTGAATTTCTTTCTACATTGAAATTATTATTTGAATCACTCTTTACGATTAATACTTTTTTTTTGAAGAATCGAGAAAGAGAAAACATTTTTTAATACAGATCATATGTTAGTTATATAAAAATATGTATATTTTATTGTACATGGCATGTACTAAATATTACAAAAACATTATAAAAAGCATTTTTTAATATAAAAAATTTTTTATAATTATTTAATAAAAACTGATTTGTTATTGTTAATAAAAAAATTAAAAATAATTTTACAATTCTGCAATAAAAGCTTATTAAATATTATTTTTATATTAACATTATTTTAACATTATTTTATTATTAAACTTTATTTTAATTTATTAATTTGATTATATACAGTTGAAAAAAATGCAAAAAAAGGAAAAAAAAGTTGCAAAAAGTAGGTCTCGAATATGGGATCTTTAATATTCAAGCGATTCGCCTTACTCGATTAAAAAACGCTTGATTTTTTGTTGTACGCTGCTGTTGATCAAACAGTCTAACGCACGGCAAGGACGCGTGACGTAAATAGCTTCGCTTGTGGATATAACATGGACATGAACCATCTCAGAAAATAGACGTAACTTTTTGACCGATGCGGAAAATGGACGTGGCTATTTAGTTCCTAAGCCGGCCGGAAATGGACGTGCGTCACTAGCGTACGGCCTAGAGAAAGCGTCGTACGGAAAACGGCAGCGTGGCCTCTCTCAGGTTTCTCTCTGCTATATCCCTATCTTTAATAAATAATCGTCCAAGAGAACCATGCCCAACCGCCGAGGCCGGGAAGGCCATTACCTCCGTTTTATGCGGAGAAATTTCTAGCCCCATTCCTTCTAATTCTCTGATAAGAATACCAGCAGATAACATCGCTTTGTTTCTAGATTCATCGAAGTTTTCACCAGAGACCAACAGGATAGTATCGTCCGCATAACCTAGTGTCCAACAACCCTCCGGAAGCGTCAAGGTAAGTATTTTATTGTAACCAATGTTCCACAAAGTCGGCCCAAGGACCGATCCCTGTGGAACTCCACAAGTCATTTGCCTAACTCTAACTTTAGCATTACAGTCGATAAATGAAAAGCTTCTATCCGAAAGGTATGCGAACACCATCCTACACAAGTACTCAGGGAATTCCATGGAGGACATGGCTCCCCTGATAACTCCCCACGGAAGAGAATTAAATGCGTTCTTTATGTCAAAGCTTACACAAATAACTATTTTTCCTTCGTCTATCTCATTTCGAACTATTTCGCGAAGCTTGAGTATAGCATCTATAGTCGAGCGCCCTTTTCTGAAACCAAATTGGTTATCAGAGAGGGTGCCCGAAAACTCCAAATGCCCATGTATTCTCGATACTATTACTCTCTCGAATAATTTGGCTGATTCGTCCAAGAGACAAATTAGCCGATAGATGCTAGGATCCGATATTATACCCTCCTTTTTTCTTAAGAGAATTAGTTTGGCCCTTTTCCATATCTCAGGAAAGTTACCCTCCCTAAAGCACTCATTAAAGCAGGTAAACCACGCCTCCATGAAATTCCCCAGACTGCCAGTGAGTACGCTTCCCGCAACTCCATCTGGGCCCGGTGCTTTCTTACAGCCATAAATCTTTTTGGCAGTCTCCCTGATCTCTTCTTCAGTGACTTTTAAGTCGTCAGTCCACAAGGGAGGACGACTTAAGTGATCTGAATCTAAATAGTTTTCCCTCTCTGGAAAAAGAACCCGTATGATTTTTTGCACTATACTATATGATAGGGTCTCAGTAACCGAGTGTGCCGATGGTCTTAACTTTTTAAAGATAATTTTGTAAGGTAGGCCTCATGGGTTCTTGTCAAGATCTGCCAAGAGCTCATCCCATGCCTTCGCCTTCGCCTTTTTAATACATGTTCTATATTTACAGAGAGAAAGTCTATATTCTCTATATTTGATCGTCACTATATCTATGTTCTGTTTCTTTTTCGCCCTAGAGAGAGCCCTTCGCGCGTGAACCATAACTCCCCTTTGAGCTACCAGATCTTCATTCCACCAATAGGTAGAATTTCGAGAACGGCCGCTATTCCTTGGTGAGGAAAAATCACAGATTTCATGTAAAGATTTATTAATCCATTCAACTAAACTCCCAGAAGAAACCATATTTGCTTTATTAAATCCCCAAGCTTTACAAATAGCAGCCGTTTTCAATGCTTCAACATCTACTTTACGGAAATTCCATTTTGGAAAACTTTGTTCCACAGACAAAGATCTCTCTCTAGCAAGACCTGATTTTATCTTGATACAAATTATTCTGTGGTCAGATAGAGAAGGCGTATCTACCTCCACTACACAACTTAAGACTAAACTATTCGCTTTATAATTATCTATAATTAAATCAACGACAGATTTTCCCCTATATCTAATACAGGTTGGAGTAAACTTATTATTTAAAATTATTAGATCCATATGATCCAACCAGTCTTTAAACCTTTTGCCTCTTGCATTGACACCACCTCTGTCCCAATCACAGACTTCTATATATTACTAGACTGCTAACTTCCCAAATTTTGCTTATGTGCTATGGCCCCAAAAAGCATGTGTTAAAGTGTCTCATTGTGCACATGCGCAGAAGCAAAAAGATATATATAGTCAATAGGTCTGTTTTTTATAACTGAACTGGCTGCACTAGTTCAGAGTTTATCTTTCTCCTTCCAATGTAGAGGGAAAAAGATAAACTCTGAACTAGTACAGCCAGTTCAGCTATAAAGAACAGACCTTATATATTCTCCATAATACGGTTCTTCTAACCTATAATTCTAATCTTTTTACATGAGAAAAGTGATCCGCGATACGTGATAAAAACGTCATAAAAAGAAGTCAACAGTGCCATTTAAATGTGCTGTTTTAAATTGCAAAAGCACAGCAGCATACAGAGAGAAAAATGACAAAATCTCTTTCTTTAAGTGAGTATTATTTAATAAAATATGTGGTAGAATTATATTGTCGTGACACTGCTGTTTTTTGATCATTAAAAGAAATTCTAAATATATTTAGTATCAATGTTAATAAATTAATGTTAATAAATTGTTAAATAATTTAGATTTCCTATAAGTATACCTTATTTATTGAAACAATGGATAATAGCAATTAATAGAACAAATTGGATACCAACATCATCAAGCCGTATTTGCCAATTTCATTTTACTGATAGTGATTTTGCAAATACATCAAAAGTGAGAAGATTAAAAGCAGATATTATACCCACTCAAAATTTATATGATCAAAGTTCTGAGAAAGATTCAAGTAAGTATATCAACAATTGCACATATAAAAATCAGAAAATTATTTAATATATGAATTTTATTTTGATTTATCTAGATTCAAATGAATGTAATAGCGAGAATCTGGATGTCCAAACTTTAAGTAAAACAGATATTACTGCACAATATGATACTGCTGATACAACATACAATACGATACAGCTAGGTACGAAAATAATAAATTATAATATATATTATATGAAAATCAGAAAATTATTTAATTACATGATTTCTTACGTAGCGTATATAATTAGATTTCATGATTTTATTATTATGGATTTTATTACTATATATCTTATTAATTTTTGTAATATAAATTATGTCTTATTTTAGGCTTAACAGAATCTCAAAAACGTGAATCTACAAATATATTACAAAGGACAAACATAAAATGTCGTAAACTGGAAGATGAAAATAAAAAACTGAAAGCAATGATCAGTTCCTTAACACAAGATTATGAAAAACAATTAAACAATCAAGCAGATATGTTTAAAACTTTTATAGAAAAAAAAAAAAATTGGAAAGAAAAGCTTGTTTTCGAAAAAAATAAAATAAAATAATTAAATAGAAAAACAAATAGAAAAGAAATACAAATTGATAACTTGATACATAAATTAAAAGATTCAAAAACAATTAATGATGAAACGTATGATATGTTAAGTTCTGATTTGGGTAAAGTATCTTCTGAAATATTTAAAAATGATCATAAAAATAAAAATAAACAAAAAGGACGACGTTATTCCGAAGATATTAAAAGGTTTGCATTGACCTTACATTATCATTCCCCAAAAACTTACGGGTATTGTAGGTCAGCATGTGTGTTTTCTTCTATTTCTTTTTTAAAATTCTTTTATGCATTAAGAAGTATACATAAATATAAATTAATTAATTATGTATATGCACACACACACACATATATATATATATATATATATATAAATTAATAGTAGAAAAATATTAACTAAGTATACTTATTAATGTATGACCTGATTTATTACTGTATATATTTGCATGTTTTATGTTTGAACATTTATTTATTATTATTAACTTTAACAAAAAATCATAGGTAACACATGTTCATTTTATATACCAATGTTTAGGGAATGTATATGAAATGATTATGTCCTACCTAGGATATGTTGGACTTATAATTGAATAAATATAATGTATTGCATGACTATTAATAGAACATGTGCTTATAAAGCTGTTCAATTATAACTGCTTATATCCCAGCAAACGAGAATGGATTAAAAGTAAAAATTTTTAAACCTAAGAAAAAGGAAATTACAGAAAGATTGAAATTTT